TCTCGTTCTTTTATGCGTGAAAGTAAAAAGTGATATGAATATAAATATTCATAAATTGTTTTTGGAAAACTCGTTATGCTAAGTATTAAACAAATATTTTCAAGTTTAAATGTATTTAAACAAAACAAGAGCTCCATTAGTAATTTTTCTAATTTTTTACCAATTTTCAATTTTTTGTATCTGTGATTAATGTGATATTCTTATTGAACTAGTATATCTCACCATTTCATTAACTATTTCATATCAAGATGACCAAAATTCAGATCCCGATCAACAAGAGGGTTGTGAGTAATTCACTATTCGTACTCCCTTCAAGTGGTAGTGAAGGTTGTCTTAAAATGCTTAATTATTCGTTATTCGTTTTATTTTTTTAATTTCCGTTTGTTTTTTATAATGGATATTCTCGTAACCCTATTGGGCATTCAAAATTATTATATAAGAAATGTAAACCCTAACTCTATTAATCGTTTCTGCATTTAATTCATAAATTTATTTCCCTCTAAATTCTGGACCTCTACAGTGTGGGTACCACCTAGCAAACTTAAGGAAACATATACAAGTGTTGGACTTATTATAAGAATGAATCAGATAACAATTTCGGAACTTAAACAAGGATATAATTGCTAACATCAATTACCATGACTGGGAACTGAATTTTCATCCCTATTTCATCAACAATTCCATTCTCCATACAGCTATTTACAATTATATTTTTTTCTTCTATCTTGTCTGTCAGAACCAGGTTTACTAAGAAAAGATTACCCAATTATAGCCCACAGCATTTTCATTGCACATAACCCCTCGTCCTGGAGCATTAGATTTCCAATTAAACAACATAAGGATATCTAGTTAGGCATTTGTATCCAAATACTATCCTATTAATTGAAGGGAAAAAAATATGCAAAATAATTGAGAACCACGAATATAAACAAATTAATAATCATTAAATTGGCTATACGAGATTTCCACAAGCAAATCACCTTTAAAGCTATAGCTAAGCAGGCTTGCCGATTATTTGGACGCCCCAAAATTAAACTCCATACAGCACCCAGGCCCTGAGTGACACGCTCACCATCACGAACCTCTTTTCCATTAAGATCATGAACATTAGAATAGCATAGATCATCTAATAGTTTCAAAGCAGACTCAGGCAAAACTGGAACTTCACCGAGAAGTCTACTAAAATACTTGTCTGAAGCTGGAAGAGTGCTGAGCAATGATTTTGCCTAGAATGAAAGAGTTTAGATAAATTCAATTCCAAGCAAATGAATAAGATTGAACCATCAAATTAAATTCGTACCACTGCCAAGAGGAATTTCTCATATGCAACAGCAGCATAGGAAGAGTTCTCAACAGAACCCAAAACCATGAGAGAATGCAGATGGTACAGAACATGCAATACCAGTTCATGTCCCTGGTCCAGAAAGAAAAAATAGGCTCAGAAGAAAACTAATTAACAAGCAATTTGAGAAGCACCAACCCATTACATAATAAATAGAGGACCTTTAGTAAATATAATCATAATAATCAAATTGACTCTGCACAAGATTATCTGATCTAAATAGACATCCTATTTTGGTTATAAGAATAGTAACTTCACTTGCTACTGCATAATGAGTTAAAAAATTACCAAGGACTCCAGAAATCATTAACCGAATGTGAAACCTAGATGAATTTGTGGAACTCATGCTTCAATAGAATACACTTTTATGTTAATTCAGTCAACCAACATGAACATGTTACCTTTATCAGACAGCATACTTAAGATAGTGGTTCAACGGCCATGAGTGGCAAGAACAAGAAACAGGGAGCAAAGTCAGATAACAGGTAACAGAATCTGAATGCTTAACTACATAAATACCTTTTGCTCTCGATAATCAACAATAATATGTTCCTTTAGCATCGTGACAAGTCATCATCAGCATCAATCTGGAAGAAACATGGCCCAGAAGATGGTTCAATGAATTCAGTACCACAATGACATCGGAGATGAATTCAATCTAAGTGAGTGGGAAAGGAA